CTTCTCAGTACTAACCTCCCTCAGTGAAGGCCGCTCTCCTAAGGCCGCCTGCCTGCAACAATGCAGGTCTCTCTGGAAACTGTAACAGGTACAGGATTCATGGCCTCCTCCCCCCACTCCAGATACTGGAACTACTAATCCCATCAATAACAAGGAGAAGCACGTTGGGACGTGAGGGCGGAGCTGAGCAGCCAGTTAGGATAAAACCGGACATGTGGGCACTGGGGGTGGCCTGGTGGCTTGTGGCTGGTCGTTTTGGCTCTCGATTGGTTTTCAGCGTGCTGGTGGAGTCCAAGTCACAGAACTGGTAGAACATCCTAGCTCAACTCGTATTTCTCTCCCTTTTTCCCTGGGTTATTACTTTACCTTTCTCCTCTCTCTGAATTGAGGTGCCCTTGTAAATAAGTCCATTATTGAACCTTTTTGAGTGTGTCCATAATACGATTGAATCATAAACTCATAGGTGAGGACCCACAGACAGGCAACCCAATTCACATTGGGGTGCCCAGTAACAAAACCTGTCCCTTCACGTGCAGCTCTTCCTTCCTGCTTGTGCCTATGCAAATGTCTTCTCTCCTGTCTCTTTCTAATAAACTTACTCTTTAAATGTAATTGAGTCTCTGTCTCAAAAATCCCACCATGTGCAGCTGAAAGAGGAGCTCTATTGAAACCTTTTTCAGAGTGAACCTGAAGGACTGCAGGAGAGGATTCACAAGACCTAGTCACACAAAGGGATGGGTAGAAGGGGCAAATGCAGCAGTTGACACAACCATAAATTCAGGGCAGCAAAGCCAGGATGCCTGGCGCCCAGGTAAAGACAAGGCATGGATATGGAGATGAAGCTCACTAGGGAATCTCTGTTCTCTCAGACTCTATTCAAAGTCAACAAACCTAGGCTCAGAAGGAGTGAGCCCCTCTCAAAGAGATGCTGTCTATATCTGGACAGTCCCTCCACCAGCACGGGCAATGCTCCACTACCCACGCAGGTGCTTTTTTCCACCCACTCTCCCTCTGCAGGCCAGCAGCCTCCTGCCTGCCCATGATCTGGGACAGGACTTCTCTGCACTGACCTCCCTCAGGGGAGGCCGCTCTCCTAAGACTGCCTTCCTATAACCATGCAGGTGTCTTTCCCTGCAGACCTGTCCCTTTTGGGGGCAGCTCTTCCTGCCCACTTGCACCTATCCAAGTGTCTTTCCCTCTTCTGTCTCTTTCTAATAAGCTTCCTCTTTAAATATAACTGAGTCTCTGTCTCGTGAAGAATCTTGCTGTGCTCCGCTCCCCGCTGCTGAAAGGAGAGCTCTGGTGAAACCTTTCCCAGAGTGAACCCAAGGACCCACATGGCATGGCAGACCTCTTCTGACCGCCGGCTGCTTCCCTCAGCAGTGGACTTTGTCAGTCTGCCTGTTCTGCTCCCCACTCAGTCTCTGGTGAATCCTCTTGCCCACCACATCCCTGGCCTGTACATCAAACTCAAGGACCCTGAACTCCAAAAAATGGCATCATTCTTGATAAAATTTATGAAGTCTAGGATCAGCTTCTAGAACTTTCAAGCTAATCCACAGAAGTATAGTAACTTTAACTTCGGTATGTTTCTGGGACTCACAAATTGGTCCCTTAGGCTGGCTGAATATCTTTGAAAGTAAATACAACAAGGTAAGAAACATAAAGCTTACCATGTAGTGACAAAAATGCTTGCCAAATAGAAATTTGATCCCAATATGGTTGATTATTACAACTACAGAGTAAGGGGTTTCAGTCAAAATTTAATATTTGTTTATTTAGCATCTACCACATAAGTGAATACTACATGTAAAGCCCAACCTCATGATGCTGAAATTACAGAGTGGCAGTATTTAGCTTCCCTGTTGGGGAGCAATTTGATCTGATTTATAATGAAATAAAAATTGACAATGGGAAAGAGGCTCAGTAGTATACATTAGATTGATCAGCCTCCATCTATCATGATGGAGGATCCACTTCAACTTTTCAAAGCAGATCAGTGACTAACTAGGGCCTAGGCTTCCAAGGATATCTCCTCTTGCCAAAACGAAATTGGCTTTCAGAACTAGAAATCATTTTAAAAAAATCATCGAGTGCATTTATTTTAATATGTCTTGACAGTTCTGAGTGTTTTCAAGCCAGGATCTAGGGAAACAAAACTTGGTCCTTGGGATGTTTCTAATCTGGTGGAAGATGAGCATGAAGAAACATTTATTTGTAAGCAGTATGATGATGACAAAATGCATGTACCACAGAGGGCAGAGACACACAAGAATCTAGTTCATCACTTCTCTTTGATTATGCAGGGCTTACTCACTGACCTGATACATGAACTGTGCTAGTCAGTGGTTCTCTCAGCAGTGATATTTTACTGAGCAAGAAGGCAGCAGGAAATGGTGCTACCTAATAACTACTGACCATCAGACTGGCACACTGGCAGCTGTTCAGAAAGTCAGCTTCTCCCACTATCTTCTTTCCTCACCAAGGGCTAGTGATTTTCTCTGAGCTTTCAACTTTCCACTGCAAACGGAGAAAGGCTGAGTAAAGTGGGGGCGGGGGAGGGGAGGTGAGAAGAGAGAGAGAAAGAATCTGCACTGCAACTGAACCTTATAATTAATGGGCAAACAAAACCAACAGGAAATCAGACAAAAGTAGGCAAAAAAAAAAAAAAAGTCAAGTTTTGAAACACGGAAGGAAGAGCAGTTCTCAAACAGCTGAGGATAGCAAGTAAAATTTGTCTGAGTTAAAAAAAACCGAAACGCGGTAGACTTTGACCTAGGGCTTCAGAAGTCTAGGAGCGCAGTTCTTCAGAAAACCAAGCAAACTCCACCTGGAGTTCTCGCTCTCTGGGTTGCCTCACCTTCGGTCTTCAGCTGAACCTCCACTTCCCCTGGTTTCCGAGACCCCGCCCTGCCCCCGCCCTGCCGCGGCGCTTCCGG